GAAAGACAGATGCTTTGATACTGGGTTGGATGGACTGATTAAAGTGGAAAGTCGGCAGCAAAAAAGAATTCGTTCCTGAGAAAAATTATTCTAGGTAAGCAGAAAGGAATAAAGAAGAACAAAATTTGCTAAAAATGTGGAAACTACTCATAAATTACTAGAATGGTTAGATCAAAGATTCACTAAATATGGAGGTGTGAATCCTAAAAAAAAAAAAGGAGTGGGAGGTGGGAAGAATCTCCTGAGCCAGAGTAAGACAAGGAAAAGCTCAGCAACTGTTTTAATGGAATAACATGAGATTCATTAATTTTAGTGAATACACTCTATTCTTCTTAAAAAAAAAAAAAAATTATCTGTGCCATAAATACTTTATACTCTAATATTCCCTCCAAACCAAAACCAAACCAAACTCGTTGCCATCTAGTCAATTCCAACTCATAGGGACCCTACAGGACAGAGCGGAACTGCCCCACAGGGTTTCCAAGACTGTAAAACTTTACAGATGCAGATTGCCATATCCTTCTCCTGCAGAACGGCTGATGAGTTCGAACCTCTGACTTTTCGGTTAGCAGCCAAGCGCTTTAACCATAGCTTACAATGGGCTTATGTGACATCATTACACTATGACAAGCAATATAGTGATTAAAATACAAACTCTGGAGCCTGACTGCCTGAGCTCAAATCATAGATCTTCAACTTACCAGGTGACCACGGGCAAGTTTCTTAATTTCTATGTGCTTCAATTTCTTCACGTGTAAAATTAAGAAAACAACATTTCCTATTTTATAGGATTGTTGTGAGGCTTAAAGAGAACGTGTAAAACGCCCAGGATTGCACCAACACAGAGTTAAGTGCTATACAAATATTAACTATTACTATTACTACTAGGGGTGGGTTATCAACAAAATAGAAAAGAGAAAGCTAGAGTACCAAGAGCACTGTCTGGAAGAGAAACCCTTAAAAGAGGTATTTTCAGTCTTTGATTGAGAAGAGTTACTTTTCATTTCCTTGAAGTCCTGAATTACTTCAGGGAAAATCGGAGCAGTATGGTAACAATAAGTTCTGTTATTAAAATTGAGGCAATATCATCACTGCTGGCTATACTTCCCTGCCTGCTGGTAAGTTAGAAAGAAAGCAATCAGTGACAACAGCAATTAGCTTGGAGATATACCAGGAAGAACATTAAGATCTAAGCTTTGGCACTTCTCTCTTGAATACTTAACTTGGGTCAGAAGTTACTAGTGAGATTTTCCTGCCCAGTAGATCTCCACTGAAAGACGTGCCACCAGAACCAATTCCACTAACACAAAAGGAACACTATAAAGAAACACTATCAATCCCTCTCAAGGTAATTTTTTAATTTGTGGAGCCATCCATACGAAAACTGTATTTCCCAAAGTATTCTAAAATATCTTTTTCAGAAAATCAAGGTGATGCCTTGGAAGAAAGTACAAATAGCAATAGATAAGATGAAGATCATCACTTTACCAGAGCTAGCCATTTCAAGTTATATACCATTTCTATAACTAATTCCATTTCAATCGTTAACTAATACTTAGTCAATAATAACTTGTCTCTGAAGATACTTATAATCTAAGTTATTCAGAATAAAGGAAGAATTTAATTGTTTTCTATTAAAAAGTGAACAAGAGAAATATGCCAAATATCTTAACATAATATCACCAATCTTAGTTTAAACCAAGTTTACCTTGAGCATCATATTTTCCACTTGATCAAACAGTCATCAAAAAATAAATCAATAACCTGAGAAATATTTTACAAAGAACGTTTTAATTGATTTCCCATCTATCCTTTGCCAGGTTTTTAGTAAGTCAATCACAATAATCTGGCCACCTCTCCCTTCCATCTCTCCCCCTGCTAATGGTTATTTCAGAAATGGTCAGGCTCTTGTCATCTTGAGCCACCAGAATCCAAGGAGAGGTGTTCTGTGGGCTTCTGGAAAACAAATTTTCTGGCTCTATAGAGAGAGTCATGAGAAGTCAGTGTCTGCCACCCCCATCGCCATAAAAAAGCAGAGTTCCAACTTCTACTGACCACCATCCTATAACCACAAGGAATCTAAGCCTTCAGATGAAACCATTACTGTGGGTGACAGAGCTGAGATGCAGAAAGAATGTGGATCTTTGATGACTTGCCTCAGGACTTCCTCTTATAGGAGGAATCAAATTTCGTTATTATTTAAACCAGTTTTACATGTGTACACAAAAGCATCCTAATTTACACGTTCTGTGTTCTAAGTCTATTACTACCGAACAATTTCATCCATACTAATTCAAATGTTAGCAAAAAACATTTTATCCTACTTTAAACTGATATACACATCATACTCTTATTAAAACACATACAATCATACTCTTATTAAAACAAACACAACATAGGTTATTGACTGTTAAATAGGAATACTCCAATAAATTCTTTAACTGTGGACATTTTTTTCCTATGATATTTAACAGTAAAGCAGAAAATTAATAAAACAGTCTAAAAAGATCAAACTCTTACTTGACATAAAATTCTACTTTCAGAGCCCTCTTTAAGGGTGCCACGAGTAGAAGCCGACTGTATAGCAACTAACAACAACATAGCCCTCTAATTTATAGCTAGCAATGGTTAACGCATTTGTCCGCTACCCAGAAGGTAGGCAGTTCTAATCCACCAGCCGTACCTTGGAAACCCTGTGGGACAGTTCTGTTCTGTCCTATAAGGTTGCTATGAGTCGGAATCGACTCAACAGCAATGGGTCACTTTTTAGGGCACAAAAAATTATAACTTGTCAGACTCTAAAATATTAGTTACAGTCATACCATTTCTGCCACAATCAAAAGAAGAAAGGTTGTTAACGCTTTTTACGTAGTTGAATTTAGCTTTTTAAAAAAATCTTTAGAATCTGCTGCCAACTATCTGTATTAACGATGTACACAGTTAGAATGGATTAACGGCAACCTATAGGGAGGCCAAAAGTGTTTATTTTAACTATTTATTACACTTCCAACTTCACCATGCTGGATAAGCTGTTAAAATACAAGTGAAGATGTTTCTAATATGCAGTGATTCAAACAATAACAACAGTCAAAAAGGCAGGAAGGTAATAGAAGAAGGGTAAAAAGTAGAATGTACAAACTAGAATAACTAGTTCCTGAAAAATGGAAAAGTGAAAAGGGAGGTAAAAAAAAACCCAAAACCAACCTGCTGCTGTTGAGTCGATTCTGACTCATAGCGACCCTATAGGACAGAGAAGAACTGCCCCATAGGGTTTCCAAACAGCAACTGGATGGATTCAAACTGCTGACCTTTCAGTTAGCAGCTGAGCTCTTAATCACTGTGCCACCAGGGTCCCCAAAGGAAGGTACCAAAAAAAAAAAAAACTCAGTGCCACCGAGTAGATTCTGACTCCTAGCAAACCTATAGGACAGAGTAGAATTGCTTCATAGGGTTTCCAAGAAGCACCTGGTGGATTCAAACTGCCAACCTTTTGGTTCAAACTCTTAACCACTATGCCACCAGGGTTTCCCAAAAGAAGGCAAGAGAAACTAAAACACTTTAAAGTCTTTATGGAGAAGTCACAATCTCTGGACACACACAGATCTGGTGTTATATAAAGCAGACAGATCCTTTTATCAAGATCACTTTAGCATGCAATTTAAAATGAAAAAATGCATATTACCCAAAGGAATTTAGCCTGCTTTACATACACCGCAGGTGAGCATAACTTCAAGCACTTTAGCTAATGCTAGAGTAGGTATTTTAGAGATTTATTCGTATCATAAATACACTTACGATAGGTTTAAATTGGACCTGAAGAAAATAATGCATCCATTTGAGTCTACAAAGAGAGCTTGGCTGGGCCTGGAAACAAGGCAAACAGGCAAACTTCACTGCATAACAGGACAAATGGTAACTTTTTAAACCCCAGGAAGCTGCCCTACACAACCTAGACTCACTCCTCGCCAACAGCAAGCCTGACCACAACAGTTCAAACAGGCCAGCAGTGCAGCTGGTGGGGCCAGTGGGGCCAAGAATGAGTGTGCCTTCTCACCTAAAATTAGCCATGCCTCTCTCACCACAGCTTCATTGGGCTCCTCTATTTTAAGGTGTGCAGCCCCAAATTGCTTTAGAGCAGTAATTGCTGCCAAGGTCAGTTTTCTAGAGCTAAAAGTATCAGTCAACTTTCCACCAAGGCTTTAGGACGGCCAACTAGCCTCCACAAAAATCCCACGCTTAATCAACATGCTATGTAGCATTTAACTACGCTGAAATTAAATCATACATTGCAGATGTCCATGAAAACAAACCACACGAAGACACATTAAAAAAGATAAACGCAAGAAGAGAAATTCCTTATTCTTTTCTGCCACTGCCCCCTCCACACATACACATATACACAATAGGAGAAACCAAAGGAGGGGAAGACTGGCAAAATTACAATACTACAGTTTCCTTGTCTTCACAGGAAATTATATAGAACAGACAGCTGAAACACTTCTAAATAATGTCACACTGCTGGTTTGTCTTCCTCTGAGAGTCTCATGCTACAGAAGTAAATCCAACAGAAGAGCCTACTCAGTCTGAATTCTGCATTCCGGAAACACTAGAAGGTAAATGGTGTGGCTTCCATTGGTACTGGCAGGAGAATTCACCCTAATGTTTAAAAAAATGATCCAAATCTTCAAAGAAAATGTAAAGACTAGTCCTTCTACTAAAACTAAAGACAACCTCATCAATGACTGGTAAAGCTGAACTGTCAATTATTTGGGCCTAGCACCACAGCTGAAATTCAAGCTACCCAGATAACATTCAGAGTTTCTGTGAGCCACGGCAAAGACCTTAGTATCTATTTGATCACCAGCAACTTGAGACAGTTGCAGAATACACATTTAACACTATTATTGTCCCAAAACTATCATGTTCCAACAGTCTACAACAATAACATTTGTTTTGACAGTCTGAATCAATTATTTTAAGAATTAACAAAACACACATACCTTCATTTTCAGAAGCATGACATTTCACTTTCAATACCAAATCAAAGGTTCTTTCTGGATTTTCCCTAAAAAAAAAAAAAAATTTTTATTTATTTCCTATGACATAAATAAGGATCTCGATAAAGTTTATATGGCGGCAGTGGTGATTCAGTGGTTGAATTCTCGCCTTCCACGCAGAAAAGACCTTGGTTGGATTTCTGGCTGATGCACCTCACACGTAGCCACCATCTGGCTGTCAGTGGAGGCTCGCATGTTCTGTGACGCTGAACAGGTTTCAGTGGAGCTTCCAGACTAAGACAGTCTAGGAAGAAAGGCCTGGTGATCTACTTCAGAAAATCAGCCATATCAGAAAACCCTATTGGATCACAATGGTCCAATTCACAATTGATCATGGGGATGGCGCAAGACTGGGTAGGGTTTTGTTCCACTATACATGGGTCACCACAAGTCAGGGGCCCACTTGGCAGCAGCTAAGAACAACAACAAAGCTTATATTTCCTTAATTCTAAAAGTAATCTTGTTCTTGTCTCAATATATGTCATGTAACTATATCACCATGGCATAGCAGAAATTAACAATGAGGGTCTTCCCAGATCAGTAAAGAGCTGAGATTTAGGAGTTTTAACAAGGGCAAAGCATTTAACCTCTGAACCTGTTTTTCTTGCCTATAAAGTGCCTTGTTATCTTTACAGAATATTTGTGAAGATTATACGTCAAATAATTTACGTGAAAATACAAATTACGAAGCGCTGTATAAATGCAAGGCACTGCTTTCATCTTAATGAAGCAAAATTGAAAAATCAGTGTGTTCTTAAGTGTCTTTATCTTGCCTTACCAACAGAGCTTAACAGCAGTCTCTCAAGCTTTCTTAAGTGTAACCAATGGGTACCTGGTTCCACCTGCCATGTTCCTAAAGTCTTATGAGCAATGAACAGAACTTCTACACCACCATAAAAGATTTATCCTTGAATGGGGTACTCTGGATATAGTTTTCTGGACATGTAATTATTTTACTTAAAGCGTTTTTAAAGTAGCAAACTATAAACTTTAAGGCTAGCCAAAAAAAAAAAATTATTTTACGTCAATTATCTTTGGGGAAATTTGGCATCTGTCTCAATACCAGATTTTCCCACTAGGAAGAGTAAGGTTGTTTTGCTTCAATCAGAAGTTACTGACTTTTTTTACGGACTTCTCACACATTTAACCTATTTAGTGGTTTAATTTCAAGAGGCAAATTGTAATTTATTGAGACACTTTTTTTTTTTTTCAAAACACAGCTCTGTTTTAATCTCCCTTTCCGCTAGAAGATGAAAGATTAAGCCAAATCTGATACCACAATATCCACGTGACTGAAGTGTTAATATATTTCGGTTATTCCTGCTAACAAGTTCTTAGTGTCTTTGCACATGGGCCGTTTTTAATACAAACTTCCTACAAGAAACTAATGCCAGATTTGCAGATTTGACTTCTAAATAAACATTGATTTTTAAAACGTTTTATTATAAAACATGAACCTATAACACAGGAAGTGACAAGCCCTATAATACATCTTAGGTGTAAAAATTAAATAGTGTTTCAACTATACTTCTGTGAAATTGATACAAATATACACGATATTCACTATTTTAAACTCTGAAGTGTGGAAAGACAAGAGAGAAGGAATTCTTTCCAAAGTAAGTTTCAGGGATCAATGTAAAACTCATGTCTCTGAAATATCTAGAAATAAAATCATCACACTGATTCAAACTGCTTTTTACCTAATTTCTCATGAAGAAAAATATCCACTGATGTATACTTCAGCACACACACATATACCATCTAATTGGATACCATTTTGCAAGCACCATGTATGTGCATGGTGCCTATATAAACAAACATCAGAGAGAAATTTAATTGATAAGAGAAATCAGAAGAAAAAATCCGAGCCAAAATTAATAAACACACTTAAGAAAGAAGCGGTTATCATAATGTTAATGCTAAGAAAGCACTTCAAATCTAATAACCGAGTAACCTCAACGCTGACACCCTCCCGGGCACCAGCAAGACACAGACAAGGGCGAGTCACGTCTGACACACTCGGGGAAGAACGAGACACACACAGCGGGCGGTGTCACAGCCGCCAGGCCTCCCCTCGCCCCGGGAAGCGGCGTCGACGCTGCGCTGCCGGCCGCTCCGGTAGGACCCGCGCTGACCCCGCGGGCCCGGGACGCGGGCCCACCAGGCTTTGCGGCCTAGCGCCGTCCCGCCGGCCAGACGGGGACACCGGAGGGCCGGGCCGGGACCCCGCCCGCGGTTAACGTCGACCGTGGTGGGGGAGATGGACGGGCGCGGGGACGCCGGGCAAGCCGGGAGCGCGGGCCGCCCCCCC